TTTTGTAACTTTTCAATTACAGTGATAGGTTAGTTGGTGCATTCCTTTTTATATGAATATCGTGTCACCTTACACAGAGATAAACCATTCCAATAAGCCCCGCCCATTACGCATGTGAGCACTCAGTATGTGCTCTTCTCCAATGCCCCAAGACATGTTCCGGATGTGTTCATCATACATTCGTGGAAGCATGTTTGACTTTTGTGCACTCATGTTGGACAGAACTCAAGGCTGTGATTGGTCAAAAAACAATGGGGGAGGCTTAATGGATGTGTCTATTGATATATGCACGTGGACAAACACTCATTGAAATGAAGACAAAAAGTAGCATTCAAGGTCTAATATGAATCAACATATTATATTCTTGGAAATTATACAAATCAAAACAGAAGAGATTCCAATGGCACTGAGGTGCAGGAACAACTCAGCAATAGCATCTCCCTTGTGTGATATCTCACAAGAGGTCTTGGTCCAACAACAGTGACATGCAATGCTACCGATATGGCAGGAAATCAGGGCTTTTGTAACTTTTCAATCACAATAATAGGTAGGTTTATGCGAAAGTGCATGTCTGAAGGTACGAATTGGCGAAAGTTATTAACGTTTATTATCATCCCTGGTATTGTACATTGGTAATACCTAGCTACAAGAATGCCGCCATTTTGCTTTCAACAAAGGCATTTGTGCCTCAAATCCGTGGTTCCGCATTTATTGATATAATTAAATGGAATTATATGAACGTGTGTTACGTCTGAAGTTTTTGAAGCATCGCCCTTTTCTTAGTTCTGAAGAGATTCATAGGTGTAATCAAAGGATTGCTCAGATTGTCAACATTAAAGATAGTTTGACTTTTGTATGTATTCGCAGATACTGAAGCGCCCAATGTCACCTGTCCTAGCAGCATCCCCTCCATGACTACCGACGCGGGACTGTCAACTGCCATGGTCATTTGGTCGCCACTGCCATCAGCCACTGATAACGTGGACGTGTTTGATTCCAGCAACATCACATGCAAGGATAATTCAGGCAATGTTGTGGAATCCAATGGAACATATGCCCTTGGTCCAACAACAGTGACATGCAATGCTACCGATATGGCAGGAAATCAGGGCATTTGTAACTTTTCAATCACAATAATAGGTTGGTATTTCTCAATTTATTTAATTTCATATTTTTCCCGTTGGTTGGCGAAATCAGCTTGAATCAGCTTGAAACCCCTGTGAGAAAAATACATTCTCAAGTGTGAAAACATCATGTCCGTCGTTACAGCAAATTACTCTCCCCAAAATCCTTACAATAGTGTCGTCTTCTGAAGGTTTGAAATTTAACAGAAAAGATGGGTGTCTCGTTCTGTGCAGTATTCTAACAGACTTCAGGTGGACTGCAGCTGCTGTCAGAAATGTATCCTACAGACAGCATGGTATCATGTTCCAGTTGGCTGCTCTCACTAGACTTTACTATTTCATTCCTCCAAGTTATAATCAATTTTATATTGGTAAAAACAGCAGAAATTCTAGTGTCTGGTTAGAAGACGTTGGTGTCAGCACTTCCCTTACTTCCACTTTTTCAACTCAGAGGTCGTCCTCCCACTTTTGGCAGGTCCTCTAATGGCTGATGCCTGATGATTTAACAGGCTCCCCTACTTTGAAAATCATTCTTGAATTATTGTCAGTGGTCCCTGCGTTTGTTGGCAGGGACTAGTCTGCAATATTACCGTGTGATATAAATTGGTCCTATCCAAGTGTGAGTGTAATATTGTTTTTCTATGCTCAATCATGTAATCCTTTTGTACCAGTGAAACTTCAGTTCTCAAAACAGAGGTATTACAATCGTAGCTTTAAACATTTGTCCAAAAAATCCCAAGAAATGGCAATTTATTGACACGGGTTGCAAGCTTCACCGTGACAAAGATTCTGCTACTATTGTTTATCAAATTTGTACAGATGAAACACTGATCAATTGACTCCATGGCATGTACCAATTAGTTGCACATAAAAATAACTGTTTCAGATTTTCTCAACAATCGGTACGGTATCACCGCTGTTTCCAAAGCTTATACGGTTGTGCGTATAAGCCATCTTTTGATGGACTGGATGACTAAAATGTTTAGAAAAGGCGAGGGTTTTGACTCAAAAATACATAAAATAAGAGAAGGGACACGGTGGTCGAATCGAACATATTGACCTGTCCTGTTGTGTGAGCGGCCCTCCAAAAAGGTAGGGGGTATTTTTTTTTATTTCTTACACTTTGTGATCAGTTTCAAGGTGATTTTTATGAGCCTCAAACTGATAGGAAATAAGTTTTCCCGAGGAAATCCCAGTGTCATGCATGGTGAAGAATGGTCCTTTAGCTCATGCACCGTTGAGTGTGTATTGACAAACCTACACTTGTTTTCGCTCTGTGTAATACAAATCGGACATTCTACGGCATGACCACACGCTGTAGCAGTGGACACTTGCAGATTGTTGCGCTACAGCTATTGTATATTCCACGAAGTCAGAAGTAAACAACAAATTATTTATTATACACTCTATCAGAACAGTAGGCTTGACCATGATTAAAGTGAACGAGATGCTTGTAAACATTGCCTTTATTGGCTATTTGTGGATAAATACATAACTCTCTAGATAAATAATATGCGCAGTTACAACATATAGTTTTACTGATATCTTTTCATAGTTTCAGAGGGGAATAGAAACGGAGCCCAGTTATCAAACAAAATATTTCTGAAATGTTTGGTAATTTAGATTTTTTCTTGGTATTATGTGTTGTAATCTATGATTGCACTCTATGATTGATGCTGTTCTGTTTGAAACAATTTCTTTCGGAAGTTATCAGTTACTTTAATAGAGGGTATACTTAGGTCATTGCGTATATTCCTTGAGCTGCGGTCTAGAATCGCGTATGGCCAAATGGGCCAATAAACAGCAGAGTTCGCCCCCTTCGGCTACAAAACGTAAATTATTCTAGTACGTGTTTTTTCCTCTGTGTGAGATTTGTCATTATGAAGATACATGATTTGAAAAGGTCATACAGTGGAACTTGATCTTTAACATGACTTGGTGCTTGAGTTTATTGAAACTTACTTTAATTAATCATGTAGCTCAAATTTCGCGCCTGTCATACCAATATTTTTCTGTTTCGAAATCCCTTGCATCAGAAGAACTCTTATGATTGATCTTCTGCAAAAGTAACTACCCCAAATGTAAATATTTAAAAAAAAATCATATATTTTTGAGGCCCTCCTTAACTGGGTCATTACTAATGAATTATGTATTTTGTTTGACCTGGCTGCAAAAGTGGAACATGCGCACAACCGTTTTTCACTTTTTACAAGTGCTGAAACATCAGTGGGTATATTGTTGACAAAAGGTGAAAAATTTGCTCAGGATCTTGGGAATAACAATATCCGCAACGAAGCCTCCAAGTCATAATGGCAAGTCTACCGAAAATTGTTACATTGCTGTTTTAATTATGTAGTGCTCACTTGACTTCAGTAGCCCACATTATCAAGCTTATTTGCCACACCATGCTAATTGAGCCTTGATCTAGTACATGTATATGCTATTTTCCTACTTCATAGATACCGAGGCTCCTGTTATTGAGTTTTGCCCACAAAATGTAGTGAATGAGACAACTGAGGCAACATTCAGCTCGACATGGACTCCACCAAATGCAACTGACAACAGTGATCCCGCCGAAAATATAACAATATTAGCATCACATAACCCGGGTGATAACTTCACTGCGGGTACAATTACTGAAGTCAAATATATATTCATTGATACCTCAAACAATTCTGCCGTGTGCATCTTCAATGTGACAGTCAATGGTGAGTAAAGGTTTCCTTTTTTACAATTCAATCGTTGATTTTAAGATATGTTGTGGCTATATTTTAAGCTTTAGATATACATGTACCTTTTTACCAGCGACAATTGGATGTGTGTAAAGCTACTACCCCCCACAAAGCTTTTTCTTTCCATTCAAACAGACATTAAATTTTTCCTCTCTAGTTCTTCAGTTTTCAGTGTTATTATGACAACACATTTGAATTGAACGTCAGGGCTTACAGTTTGTCTCCTTGTCTTTTGGGGTTGGCAGACATCGGTGATCCTGTGTTTCTCACTTGCCCGGACAGACTGGTGTTTACACTTGCACAAGGACAAGATAGAATTCTTGTCAACTTTGCCATACCAATTGTTGAGGATAATTCTGGTGAGGTAATTGTCCCTGTCTCTGATCCACAACTGATGCTTCCTACCGACTTTTCTTATGGTGAGACGTCTATCTGCTACAATGCAACGGATTCTTCAGGAAATCGTGCAGTGCCCTGCGTCTTCACAGTGGTTGTTCATGGTAGGTCAATACAAGTTGATGTTGTACATTGTGCTGCAGATAACGCGTGCTTTATTTTTTTACAAAATCAAATATCTCTGAAAATAAGGATGAAATGCTTATTCTCCCTACTGACGAAAGTCCCGCAATTTTACGTTCTTTTACGCATTGCAAAATTTGAAATGGATTGAGAATTAGATATTTAATCATCACTTAAAATATTCAATAATAGACTGCTCGGTTTTGAGACAAAATTCTGCCCAACCATCTAATCAGCATACGGTGTCTAGTCAAATTGCAAGTTTGAGGTATTTCTTATGGAATAACTTTCAAGAGGGACGACGTGTCTAAAAGTTCCCTATTTTGACCCAATTGTTATTTAGTATATGCGACGGATGTTAAAATGTATGGAAAAAATGGACGAACATCTCAAACCTCAATAAGCTTGTTCATTGCAAATATCGTGGTATAAAATTCAACTACCTTCACAGTTTCTGTATGTGTCAGACAAGAAGGGTCCATGTACTCTGATTTTATACAGATACCAGGGGTGTTAACGGCACATTAATTGTATGTAATTTTGCATCATGTTCATTGGAGGATGGGGGCATAACAGAGGCAACGCCCTGGCATTTTCGGATAGATGATGAAAAGAAGTTGTTTTAATAGTTTTAATAATTCATTCCTAGCGTTTATCATTACCCTTCCAAATAGTCCTCAGAGGTTACTAAAAAGAAAGGTCACATTTCCTCCCCCCCAAAAAAAAAATTGTTGCTCTCTCCCAGAAAAAAAATACATCAGATCAACATTCGACTGCGTATCTTTGTGTTTTGGTATGTTTGTCTTCCAGATGAAGAAGATCCCAAATTCACTGTCTGCCCTCAGTCCCCTGTAAGCCCCATCACCACGGACCCTAACAGCAACACGGCCAACTATAGTTGGGTGGCCCCTAAGGCGACAGATAATGTGGCAGTCATGTCAGTGGACTCCTCCCACACAAGTCCAGCTGCACTTCCAATCAGGAATAATACCATCACTTACACAGCTACCGACCCTGCTGGAAATACTGGAATTTGTGAATTCTACGTTACTATCATTGGTCAGTGCAAAAGTCGAAACCCTAAGCTCGAATTAGCTTGATTATGGCATCAAGGCCTCAATATTGGTACATTTCTGTAGATAAAAGTGGGGGTGATAATAAACATAGGTGATATTTGCTAGCTCTCCTCACCATTCCTGAGATGTAATAACGATTAAAAACAAAGTACAAATAAACCACTGTTTTTCATTTTACGGTTGCATTGACTGAAGTTAAGCATGGTACATGCGGTTTTCTGAGAGCATGTGGCAGAACATTTCAAAAGCTTAATTTGAGTCAGATGAAGCTAAGCCCTTAGCCACTTGCTTGCTTAATCATTAACGTTTGGACAGTAGTTACGGCTTGTAATGTGCATAATTTATATCTTTTCGAGGATAAATGTCATAAAAAAAAACTTGACAAAAAATGGAAATCTTGGTTTTTTTAATTTTCAAAGACGTGGAACCCCCCACTGTGTCCCGTTGTCCAGCTGATATCATCAATTCAACTGACCCTGGCTTGAGTAACGCCACAGTGTACTGGCAAGAGCCTACATTCAGGGACAATGATGGATTGTCTTTTAACACAAGTACACATAGCCCAGGGGACCCTTTTGGAGTAGGAAACACCACCGTCACATACAATGTCACCGACATATCTGGTAATGTAGCACACTGCTCATTCCTGGTAACTATTGAAGGTAAGCCTAACATTTCACAATATTTAGTTCATATACACTTCATCACACGTATACCTGGTCATACCATCATTTGCAAGCATTCAATTTGTCTCCCATGCTTTCAGCTGTTCATGACACTCCTATAACTGAACAGAAGCATCCATTCTTTGGCCCAGTTAATTCAAGAGATGCACCTGGGGGGAAGCCTTAAGAGCTAAAAGGTCATGTCCAGGAGGTTGATTTTTAAGTTTTGCTTTTTAACAGCAGACCCAATGTGAACAAACGTACCAACAACACCCATTCTAGATGGAGCTAATGAAATTCTTGATTCATGTCAGAACCTCTTGCCAATTATAGCAATCAAGTTTAGTGATCTTGAAGATCAGTTTCATCTTGCTTTTTTCAGACAATGAGGTGCCAACATTTGTAAATTGTACCGAAGTGATCCGTACTGGAACAGCTCCTGGCAAAGCCACCAAAAAGGTCACTTGGGCCACACTGGATTACAGGGACAATGTTGGTATTGATAACATAGTCAGCAGCCACAACTCGGGTGACACTTTTGGCCTGGGGAACGTCACTGTGACCATCTCAGTCAGTGATGAAGCACAGAACACCGCCAACTGCTCGTTTGTTGTCACTGTCATTGGTGAGTTGACTTGAAGCTAAATGTTAAATTCCATGTCAAAAGTTACTTTGAGAAGACTATTAATCGATGTCATTAAATATAACAAGTTAACCTTGATGCCCTTAATAAGAGAGCCGCCATTTTTTGTTCTTTTGTAGCTTTACCAAAATCTTGAAACTCAGACTCACAGCTGCTAATTTTGCAAACCTTGCCCCCATCTTTGACCTCAACTGTGCATTTAGCACCAGTTTCATTTCAAAGCTTTGAGTACATGTACTTAGCAACCCCAAGGCAATAAATTATAACCAATTTATTTTCAGCTGTAACAGCTGCAGTGAGATGAAGATATTGGGAATAAAGTGAATGAGATTGATTTGAGTTGGAGGGTTGTGCTGATTATTGCAATATTTAAATAATTGATTTTTTCTTGAATATAACTGGGAACATTTATATTGAAATTGGATGTTGAGGGCTAAAGCCAATGAACTAATAAAAACAAAACTTGTTGTTTTGTCGAAAAATTACATTCTAAAATACACTAAAAATGACTGGAGCAAAGGTAGTTGCATGTATTTTCCCAACAAAATGCCACCTTTTTCCGTTCAATTTTCCGTTTTGGTACAATCGAATAATTAAATGTTTGACCGAATTGAGGGTTGATGGACTCGGCATCAGTGAGTCCATAAACAGAGGGAGGGTTCTGAATTATGGTGGCATCCTATGCACCGACAAGATCAGAAGGAGTGTATTAGTTTAAGACGATAAAACATGACTAGCTACAAATAGAAGCACTTGTTGATTGTACTCTGTACTGATGGTCGAGTAGTACTGTTAATCGCTTCTACACTGGTAGAAATTGATACGGCGTTTTGAACGTGTAATTCAAAATCATCACTGTGTAATGACCATGTTGCGTTCACAGCATGTCAGGGTTTAAAATAGAAGAAACTCTCAAAACTTAGTTCGTTAGGACATTTCAGCTGCAAATTATGACCTATTCCTCGAGACATGCAGAAACATGGGAAGTATGTACAGTCAAACCTCGTTAATAAAAGGGTCCTTTGAACTTGGCAAATTACTTTGTTTTAACAGGAACCTTGTAGTATGAGGAATGAAAACAGTGAACAAAACAAAGGATTAGGACCCCAACAGTTCCTAGTTATTTACAGAATCTTGTATTAACAGTGTTCTTATTAACGAGGCTCGACTTCACACTGTTGCCCCGTAATTTTTAGGTTTGGTTTGGATATTCCATGTGTTCCTAGAAACGTACGTGTAAATCTTACATTTTTTCATTCTGTTTATTGTGTCTGTGCATTGGTCTCTGCAGATGATGAACCTCCAAGTTTTAAAGCCTGTCCTGCTGATATCATCAACAGTACCGACGCTGGACTGAATTCATCTGTTGTCTACTGGCAAGAGCCAACGATCACAGACAATGTTGGGGTGGTTGCTAACTATAGCTCCCACAGCCCAGGCGATGTCTTTCCTGTTGGGAACACCACAGTAATCTACATTGCCAGTGACAGTGCTGGTAACACCAACAACTGCTTATTTAGTGTCAGTGTGGAAGGTGAGGTCTGCATATGTCCCATTGGTACTTCGATAGTTGTCTAAAAGCAGGGATAAAACTGGAGTCAGGTCCTATGTAAGCTAATATTAGACCAAGAGCCGATTGTAAATGTTTTGTTTCTCTTTTACACATGATTTGTTTACTTGAGCCAGTATCGAGATTAAGGTTCATAACATCAATGCCAAACCCTTTTCCACTTGAAATTTACGTGTTTGCAACCACCAAGTGATGTTATATTCTGATTTGTGTCTGTTAAAACGATTTTTTTCAAAAGATTTGGTTTTTCCAGTTTGTTATTTATCTGTGATTAAATTCCACTATTCCACACAAGCTGCATTCTGTTGCCTTGTTATACTGAGATATTCATCTGTCGATTTAAAGTCCAGTTGGGCTACTTTCATCAAAGGTTCAAAGTGATTGCTAAGTTTCCAGGTCAAAGTGATAAATACCGGTGTTGTATTTGAGTTCATCAGAAGTCCATGCAAGTCCCTCTCCCATCACAAGTCCATGTAAGCCATTCACCCTACAGCCAATTCACAAGCTATTCACATGAGCTGTGACAAAAATATTCTTTTGGCCTGTTATACTTATGACTGGCATGGTGAAGGGACTTGTGACTGGACTCATGATGGACTACTTTTAAAGATTGTATGCTGCATATGTACGCTCATATTCCATTCAAATCAAGAGCTTGTCAAAACATCTTGTTCAAGACACGTACGGTAATTCTCTCTTTATTCAGCCACAATATTAGTGCTGTGTGAATTTTTTTTTTCCAGATGATGAACCTCCAGAGTTATTATGCCCTGTTTATGTTGTCAACAGCACCGATGCTCATCAGAATTCTTCCAATGTCTTCTGGCAAGAACCTATATTCACTGACAATGTTGGCATCGTCAGTAATGAAAGCTCCCACCGTCCAGGGGATGTTTTTCCCCTTGGTAACATCACGGTTACCTACTCAGTCAGTGACAAAGCTGGGAATGTGGCCAACTGCTCGTTTATTGTCAGTGTTGAAGGTGAGCCGCTAGCTAGTTCGTCGCTCGAGCAAATTAATTCAATGGAAGGGTGGGGATCGGGCTGTGTAGACTTATCTGCCACAAAGTGGAGCAGGAAGATGTCTTTACTATACTTCGTAGTTTCATCATGACCAGCATTGTCATGATGATCTGAAATTTCTGGTGTGTTGTTTGAGATGTTTAAGCTTCTGCTTCGTGCATGAATAAAATGTACATGAGAATGACAGTTTAAAATATTAGAGGAATTACTGTGCAGTGGAAGATGTTGTTAATGTTGTTACGTCAGAAACAAATGATGTCAGTAATTTCAGTCCTTATTCCTTTAGAAGGTGAGGTGTTAAAAATTGTCACGTGAAAGTAGAATGTCGTATACTTCATAGTTGTATCAATCTGTCTCAGAGGCACATAGTCAGTTGCAATATTCGAATTTTCCTTTTACTGCACTTTCTGAAGCGTGTTTATGCTAATTCATGCAGCGGGGTTTCTTGGCAAGTTTCGGATCCACCAGAGCTGAATCTTGGAATTCAGAGAAATGTTTCTGTTTAATATTTCCTCTGTCTTCTCAGATAACGAAGCCCCAAATGTCATGAATTGCCCAGCTGATGTGGTCAATAGTACCATGGCCAACCAGAGTTCGGCTTTTGTTTACTGGCGGGAACCGTCCTTCTCTGACAACGTGGGCGTGGTCAGCCGTGGCAATTCTCACAGTCCAGGGGATGTTTTCCCATTTGGTAACACTACCGTAACCTATACTGCCAGTGATGCTGCCGGGAATGTCAGGAACTGCTCTTTCATTGTAACTGTTCAAGGTAATTAAAGTTGGATTGAATCTGTGAGGCAAAGGCTCACAAGCTGACAGATCTAGGGGGCCAACAGGGCCATGCCCCCCCCTTTCTACAAAATCTCAGAAAGACAAATTTGTTTGCTATATTTCAGTTCTTTTTCTCCAGAAGTGTGTGAAAAGCTTGAAACATTTATACTCAGCTCACAGAAAGGTGATTACAGGTTACATGAAAACTATTTTACTCCCCAAAGCACTTATTTGGAGTGTCCATGATCTTGTGGAGTGCCTGTGGCCTGGTGGTTAACAGCATCAGATTCATAGTCCGCGGGTAAAGCTGCAGGTAGTGGGCTCAAATCCAGCCTTTGATCATGGTCCGTGTGCCCTTGGCCAAAGCACTTTTAAAATCATTGCCCAGGAGTAATTGGGTAGAGATGGTTATTGTGGTTGATTTAGCCGCTTTGCGCCAAAATGGCAGCATCGAACAGTATACTGCCCAGGAAGCTGAGATGGTAGTTGGAATGTTTAATTGGCCCAGTGAGCAGGGGTAATAACAATGGAAAGCACTTTGATCTAAACTAGAAGCGCTGTACAAAAACATTTAATATTAATACGTTTGGTTTGAATAGGCGATAACAAGTTTAAGCACCCTATGTGATAATATTAAACATTGGGGGTGTTTAATGTGATAGGCATCAGAATGATTGCTTACTGCTTGACCTTTGACTTTTCTTGACGTTTCTTTGACAGCCAAAGTAACTGCCATCAACTGTCAACTTGTCTGTAAAATTGGTTTCTTTTCAGACAACGAAGCCCCTACCGTGTCAAACTGTCCAGCAGACCTTGTCAATGGTACTGATCCAAGCCTGCCTTCTTCTGTTGTCTACTGGCAAGAACCAACTTTCTCTGACAATGTGGCCATTGCCATTAATGAAAGTAACCTCAACCCAGGAGACGTGTTCCCTGTGGGCAACACTACCGTAATCTACTCTGTCAGCGACAGCTCTGGAAACACTGTCAACTGCTCGTTTATTGTCACTGTCAAAGGTATGATGTACGGTAACCAAATGCTTGCTTTTGCCAAGTGATCAAGCTTGAGAAACCTGGCAGTCACGTAACCTTTGATATCTGTTGATCAGACCCTATCTTGAGATGGTATATTCACCGTATCATTAATGTGAACATATCCTACATTCCATTTTTTTTTCAGACACTGAGGCCCCAATGTTCAGCACCTGTTCAAGCGTGACAATTGAGGTAGATCCCGGACAAGCCACGTCCATGCAGGAGTGGATGTTTCCTGTTGCTACAGATAACGTGGCCGTGACAAGGAACAGTTCCACCCAGCAACGAGGTGGCAGTCTATCCCTAGGGGTTCATGAAGTGACATACGTTGTTTACGATGCTGCTGGAAATAATAACACCTGTGTGTTTGAGATCATTGTTGAAGGTAATCAATGCAGTCCAATCTATGATTGAAATCTTACGTGAGTCACCTCTGATACAAATGTGACTGTGGTAGTAGTATTTGGAATGTTTTCAACACGTTGCTTTGGATGAAGCGTAGCATGTTACAGTGTGGTTATCTTTAAGCATAGGCATGGCTAACAGGATTAGATGTCAAATGCACCTCAACTTGCCTCTAGCGGATGTGCCTTTACTCACCAGTACCTCATTCTTTTGTGCACATTATAGAGAGTGCAAGAAGTCAGTGAAGGAATTGGACTGTGTTGAACTTTGTTTCTTGTGTATGCCCTGCCGTAGCTGCATGTCCTGAATTGTCAAAAAGTACAGACTGTTTAAGGATTCCAAACTTTCATTAAGAAATATCATACAAGCACTTTATAAGTGACTCTTGGGCTTGGACTTTGTGGAGCTTGGCTCTATATCAAAAGTTTTCCAGTGTACTAGCCTTCTTGTTTGAATGTCTAAAGTATGAGCCAAAAATAATACCTTCCACAAGTTATCACAGTTAAATTTGGGCAGAGCAGAAACTTCAACTAACCGTCAAAAATTCTGTTTGCCACTATTTCTGTTTTGCCACAACTGTTTTCTCAAGCCAAAATGAAACCCCAGTGTCCCTTTCCACAGTTGAAGGTGTCAGTAAAAAGTCTTGTTCCCCCTTTTTCTCTTCTGCAGACAATGAGATGCCTAACATCACAAACTGCCCCATGGATGTCACTCTAAACACAACTAGAGGTAGACCAGTAGCAACCTACAGTTTCCCCACACCTGTCTGCATAGACAACGCCGGATCTGTGACTGTTACCACGTCCAAGTTGGATGATGAATACAGCATTGACGACACCACAGTGATCATAGCCTGCTTGGACGAGACAGGGAACACTGACACTTGCACTTTCACTGTAACCGTCCAAGGTACATTTTATGAAAACAGTCTCCTTACCAGCAGGAAGTTGTGTCCATATTACAAATTTAGTAAGGAAAGCCAAAGATACCTGCAGTCAATCGAAACCAGTGGGCCACTCAGAATAGTTAGATCATTCTCTGCTCTGATACGGGCCATTTTCCCCG